GACGTTAACACTTGTATAAAATTTTCAAGTTTCTAATGTTGAATAATTAGGTTTTAAGTTACCTCTGTTTAGACAATTAGAATAAAACAAATTCAGGAGGCCTAGCTATGTACTGGCCTACAAAATACAAATGTAACTATAATACGAGTATACTGAAAATTAACAGTGATATTTCGGCTACCGTACATTACATAAGTATATAAATATACATATTACTATTTACTCATAAATGCTTAAATTTTAGTTACATTTCTTAAAACATAGAAAGTAAATGAGAAATACACTGACAAACAAAGATTACGAGTACGTAATGTTGAGCTCGTGCATCGAACTTGCTAAGCCTTGACACAAGCCTCGTTTATTCTTCTGGGTGGAGGGGGTAGAGATACTAATTTTTTTAGTCTTCAAATATGAATTTTTAAAGACCAAAAAGTTATCAAATTACTGCACCAGTACACTCAAAATCCCTGTAATTTAGTCAGGTATCTAAATAAACTGTATGTGGGTTAAAAAAAATCCCATTCCTGTTCAGAGCTATGACTAAATCATCACACTTCAATGGTTTTGGCAAAATTATTATTTTCTCCTTCAAGCTATTTATAAACAACTATCAGAGTTACATATGGGTGAAAATGTTCTTTCTATTGGTTATAAGCTGTAGCTAATTAGTAGTAGGTGGAACTATATAAGAGCTTTCAAAAGATTGGTGCAGTGGGAGGAGCCACTTTAGTAGACTCGCTAAGAATATTGCTATTTCAGCAAATCATAGAGGAGGGAGGTTCTTATTTTATATTTAGCTTGTCTATATTTCAAATTTGAGTTTCTAATTTGTTAGCTACTTATACATGTTGTATGGTGGACATAATAAAATGGCAACTGAACAATAAGACAACTGGACGTGTTATGTGACACATAAAATTGATATTTAACATTTTTTTCTTAACATTTCCTTTTACATTAAGAAATTAAAACATATATAATATCAAAATTTAAATTATAAACTATGTTTTGATGTCAATTTCATTGATGTAAGTAGTAAAAATGTTATTTAATAAAATTTGAAAATAATGCTCCAAAATGTTGTGACACCTGCACTTTAAGTTACGCAGGGCGAAAGGGTTAACTGGTTGATTTTTGATAACTTTAATCCTTAGACTGCTGATCTCATGGCTCTCTGTAGAAAAACAAAACATTTTCCAAAATAAGTCCTTGCAAATGTTAATCTAACCTCTGAAGAAAAGATTTCCCTGAAATTCCTGAAGAATAAGTCCACAGACATTTTCCCAGCTGGCAATGGCAATTATACTGTTGTGCTTGACAAAAAGTGCTGTTATAGGAACTTACAAAAACTCATTCAGAAAGTACTGACTGCAAACCCTTCTTTGCAGAGTTAAACTCTTTTTGTGTAAAACTGAAGTTTACATGATAGTATAACAGTAAAAACTATTAAGTAAAATTTATAACACAATATCAAATGAAAGCTTATGTAAGCTTCAAGATTGACATTTTCTCCTTCTTCAAAGGACAATTAGCTAGCACCTTGATGATACTGCCAAAAAGGTTTTGCACGTGCAACATGTTATTATAAGAGTTCTCACCCCTGTTAACACATACCATGTGATTCTATAGTGCAAACAATAGACTATGTCCTTCCACAGATGGAAGGATGAGAATCTCCTGGTGCAGTGATCCCCCCTTGATCACTTTATGCAAACCCAAAACTCATTCTTATTAATGCAGAGAGATACACCCAAAGTGGGGAGGTAGGGTGGGTGGTTCTGTGAAGAGGTTCCAATCTGATATTCATTTTCAGGCAGAGAAAATATTAACTTCAGACCAATCTACTCACCTTTCAACAGAACAGTTAGTTAGAATTTCACATTAATAGTAAAGGAACTGGAGTAAAGAAAGATATTAAAAAGATGAGCTTCTTCGTAAGACTTCCAGCTATCTCTCTTTGGTTAACTTGTGTTCATGGTTACTGATGAGGAGTGGAATTCTGCAAAACTAGTATAGCCCAATAACACATGTTGATCAAAGTGTAAATTGAACTGGACCTCCCTTGAACTTAGACTTTGGGATTAAACAATTTTCCAAATACTAAGTTTATTTATCATATGTAACCTGGATAGTCTGCCATCCATCAACTAACACTGGTATTCCAGTGTCATAGTCTGTGTTTTGATCAGCAGTGTCAGCTATGGACAAATCAGCTTGAATGTTTATCTGATCTGTACAATCCAGGCCCCCTACATAATCAGACTCAGAATCACTAGACTCATAATTACTATCCCTGTCTACACAGTCCTTCTCAAATGGTTTGGTTTAGATTCTTGTAAAATACTCATAGTTTCATTCTGACTAAAATGTTTGCACAACCCTGCCATCTTGTAGCTGTAATGCTAACCAAAACAAATCACTGGAAATATCAAGTCATGTGACTTGAAACTTTAATGAAAAGTTTTTTCTGTCATTCACAAGAGGACAGGACATACACAATCATTGTACAGTGATAATGGACTGTTTATTTGTACACTCACACATAGTTATAGCCCCTTTGCTGGTTGAAGTGTTAATGCCTCAGTAGCATCTTACTAATAGAAATGACAGAAGTGTTAACATGTCATTTGCAGTGGATGTGTTAAGAGTAAAATAAAACTGAATGCACAATATAAGTATAGACCCATGCTTTGCTGTCAGTGGGCAATACATTTATGACTTCACAGTTTACTATTTCCCACAAACTCCTATATGGGAGTGTAAATTTTTGATAACCCTTTATTTTAAAATCAAATTTAATTTGTTACAAATTTAAATTTAAAGAAACATTTTGCATTTTTAAGTAAACTGAGAATAATTTCAGTTACCATGAATATCTAAAACTACAATGGTCACCTAAAAATTTTAGACATTACTGCTGTGAAATTTTGTATAAAATTGACATGATAGTCTGATGGTTACATGCAGTAGGAATGAGTTATAATTTGAATTTAAAAACAAAAACAAGATCAAGTTTGTTTACAATTTTACTACGAGTCACAGAAACACACTAAACATAAACCTTTCATGTTCTAAACAGAATAATGAAGACTTTAATCATAATGATCACCTGGTTTAAGACATTCAAAAATTGTTATTCAGTTTGAAATAAAAACTTACTTAATTAAAAAGGACCCCAGAAAGGGAAAGTATAAAATGTATAATACTTCCTTTTCTTTGTTGTAAAGCACAAAGCAACACAATGAGCTATCTGAGCTGTGCCCACCAGGAGTATCAAAATCCATTTTTTAACAGTGTGAACCTGCAGACTTATTGCTGAGTCAGTGGGGGCAAATGTATTTTTGTAATTCCAATACAAAAAATCATCTACATCAATGGATCTTAAAGAATAATTTTTCTACCCATTAAGAATGTTAGAATGTTATCAACAAGTGAAACCAATATTTGCATAACTAAATATGAAGTTAACAACATGCTGCTTCAACTTTCTTAATTCTATTCAGACTATTATCAAAGAATGAAAGAGTAGAAACTATTTTCTCACCTTGAAGTGATTGTGTATTTATGATAAATTGATCCCTCATCAAAAGTAAACTTAAATTCACCATGGTTAAAAAAGGAGTCAAAGGGGTCAAATTCAAATCTGTGAATTTGACTATAATCAGGACGTCGCCTAAAGTTTGGAATGTCTTCAATAGTCCCTTGTCGATCAAAGAGCTGTTTTCTTTCAGGATCCATTAGCAGCTAAAAGCATTAAAAAAAATCCTGTAACACTCAAAAACTTTTGTAAGATATTTATTGAACAAGAAGAGAAAACTAGTCAGTAGCTAAAAATACTCACATGGTTTAGTATTTTAGAGTCATGAATAATATTTCCTACCCATCATAATGAGAAAATTTAATATTTGAAAATTAAACATATTGTTATAAGCCATATTTTTTTAATCATGTAATTTGCTTGTTAGCTAGTGAAAGCTGTGGCTGTTGATGATAATAAATAGGCCTAGAAAAATCTAAGTTGACATTAAGTTTTTCTTTTACATTTGAAACTATATTATAAAACCAAGTTGTTGTGAAGTGTGTCGAGTTATTTCAAGATAGAGTTGAATCAGCGAGTGTGTTTTGGATTTGTTTTTGCTATCATGCTCATTTAGTTACTTTGCAAAAGTTGATCTTATGGTAGTTCTAGTATTTTTAGAGGTTTTAACATCATTTACAACATAGGCCTACAACAAGTTACAACACTAATAATTCTGGCTAAACCTTAACTTTCATTCAAGATGACCATAAGAGCAATGAGATAAGAAACCTGCCAAACATAATAAAACACAGGAAAGAAGAATAAACAGAAGAGAAACTGAGTATCTAAAGAAGAACAAGAAAAGACAGAAAATTAGAAGAAAGGGGTGTAATATTTAAAGACGAATTAAAATCAAAAATAAATTTGATTGAAGACAAGATCGATGAAGCTACAGGGAACATATGGAAAGATTTCAATAATAAGTTTGGAGAAATGCAAAAGTACAACAACAAAATTAAAAATGAAGTAAAGAATGTCATCAATGAGGTATAACCAGACCTCTCGACAAAATAAAGCATCTGAAAATGAATTATTAAATGCAAAGATTAAACCAACCATACCTTTTCCTGCATTGGCACAAGAGTTCTAACCAAAAATACTATCTACTATTAGACATGGAATAGGAAAACTTACCTGATCTACACTTATTACCACTACTACTCCAGTCATGACAGTACAAATCTAGTTTCAATACCAAATAATCCAATTGAGAAACAAAAGAACTATGATGGGAAGCTACCATGAAAGTCATACAAAGCTCAATTCAAAGTCATTTTCAGAATGAATGGGTGGAATATGAACAACAAACTATTCATCTTGCTGCCAACTTAAAAGAAAGAGCTGTTACAACATAAAGTAACCTTCTAGCTGAGAGCTGTAACAACTAACAAGCTCTAGTAGCCAACTTATTCAATAGGTTTGGAATGTCACACCAGAAAGAAGTATGCAAAGAAAAGTTCCAGAACAGGGTATGGTAGAAAGAAGAGGCTTTAGCCAAATTTGCAGAAGATTTGGAAAGGCTTGCCTAATTATCTTACTTGGACATTTCTTGTGAAATGATGAATTTATTGGGATGTGACCAATTTATAGATACTACAGCAGATTAGGATGTGAGAATCAGGCTGAAGCAGAGTATATGTATTTCTTTAAAGGAGGGTCTATAGGTGGCAGTGGAACTAAGGACACCAACTCAAAGATATGGGATCATTAGATTGAGTAATATTGAAACATAAACTCACTCTGATGACAGCTTAAAAGAACCAAAAGAATTGGTTAGCTAACTAGTTACACAGAATGGAGGAAATAAATAACAAAACAATAAGTTTTAAATGTGATTTGAAAGGATATGTTACCAGAAACTGCAGGCAAAAGCATGTAGGGAATAAGCCCAAAGAACACCAGAAAGAGGGAATTGTTATAGAGGTAGGAAACTGGGCCATTACAGCTGAGAGTGGATGAATCAACAGTTCTTAAGACACCAAGGATATAATACCACAAAGATAAGTCTTTGAACTCAACCAGGTTGAAGGAGCAACCAAGAACTAACCAGACATTGGGAAAAAAGAACTACCTGGACTTATGTGGCAAATTTAAGCTAAGAATACACCATCTGCCCCAGATGAGATAAGAATTTCACTATTTACAGAAATTAGTCCATACTTATCTTATATATCTCAAAGATTTACAATACTGGGTGTTTTTCATCATTTATGCTGACTTTACATATGTACTACAACTGCACATTAACAATCAGGAGAAAATTCAATAAATACACCAAGTATGTGAAACATATTGCTGCTTTTGATCAAATGTAATACTTCAAGTACACAAATACATATTCAAATGTGTTTACACTGTTATATTAAACAATATATCAGTATTAATCCTTTGCCTGTGAAATTTGTTGTACCAAACTAAATAATAAAAATTGGTGGACAACATGCATTTATTTTTAATAGTAGAATCATCATACATGAGCAGTGCTATTACTACTGTTGCGTCAGCGAGATCATGTGACTATTGTCACGCCACCTGCTTTCTAGAACTATCCCGTTCCTTCGGGAGTGCTTTAGCATTTACTAGTTTGAAGGGTGGTCTGGTATATATAAGATGGTCACGGCGTGACGTGAATGTGTGTGTAGGTGATGAGTAATTGAACTGCAGTTAGAGAGAGAGACGTATTGTTGAAGTCGAGCTCGTGAGATGTGAATTATAGTTTGTTATAGCGCGACTGTTGAAGTTGAGTGTAACGTAAAGTCATATTCAGAAAGAATAAACCAGTTTTATTAAGTAAGAACTTGTGTCGCTAAAGTTTCGTCGGAACGAAGTTATGTAAAGTTAATTAACAAACGGAGACGTAACAAATTGGTGTCAGAAGTGGAACGAAAAAAAAATGGAAACGAGAAGTGGCAAATCAAACTACAGCATAGCAGACTTGATGGCAGCAATACAAGAGCACCAAAAGAAAAAAGAAGAACGAGAAAAGAAACAAGAAGAACGAGAAAAGAACCAAGAAAAGAAACAAGAAGAGAAGAGATTACAACAGTTGTTGGAGGAAAAAGAAAAGAAACAAGAAGAAAGATTACAGAAGTGGCAAGAAAGCCTACAACAATGGCAGCTCGAACAGCAAAATAAACAAGAGAGATTATAGCAGTTGTTGGAGGAAAAAGAAAAGAAACAAGAAGAAAGATTACAGAAGTGGCAAGAAAGCCTACAACAATGGCAGCTCGAACAGCAAAATAAACAAGGGAGATTATAGCAGTTGTTGGAGGAAAAAGAAAAGAAACAAGAAGAAAGAGAAGAGAAATTACGGAAGTGGTTGGAGGAAAAAAAGAAATAAACAAGAAGAGAGA